TGGCTTGTTTTACAACGTCGTTGCCAAGCGACGAAAACCCAACCCCGATAGCAAATACCGGGGGGGGCGGCTTGTTTTACAACGTCGTTGCCAAGCGACGAAAACCCAACCCCGATGGCAAACACCGGGGGGGGGGGTTGTTCGCGTGCTAACCTTCTATCGCCCTACGTGTAACTATTACTATTCACCTCCGTGCTGCTGTTTGTCAACGGTGTGCCACGTTTTGGGCACGTACACGACGTCCTGAGCACCGCCGGCATCAGGCACTACAGGAAGAGGTTCTGGGTGTCACAAGCTAATCGATGCTACGGCCGGAAAGAGCTTCATTGCTTCTTGTCAAACGTCGTCCAGATCGGCGATTTCCACTCCGCCGCAACATGTACTCACGCTATCAAACAGCACGGTCAGACAAGAGCACTCTCACTTCACCCATCAGAGGGCACTCACAGTGACTCGCGCGCCGGAGGGGAACGTTGCCCCCGAAACCCACCGCGGATGCCAGCGCCTCCGGCGCAACTGTCTGCCTGCAACGATCGAACGGGAACAACAGTGTCGTCCACACACACAATCAGCGAAACGTGTATCAGATTTTTAGAGCGGAATGGCGGTCTAAAGGTCCGACATTGTGGGGATTCGCAAGCATAGAGGGGGGGGGGAGGGTAGGGCATCCGCCAAGATTGACTGCTGTGTTTGTTCTTCGAGTGCACGTTTCTCACGCCCAGCACGAAAGCTCTGCCACAATCTGGGAACAACGGGGTTCTTGCAAAGTGCAGGTGATCATGTTCGAACCCCCCTCCCTCCCACGCTACCAGGATTATCTGTTGCTTTGCCGAGAGAGAAGAACAGAGTCAACCCAAAGATACCAAGGATAAAAGAGGGTCTAGATGTGTACGACATATTGAAAGAAGGAAAAGGGTTCAAGGAGTACGTACCTACATGAGCCAACAGATGCAGGGACAAAGCTGAAGGTCAAATTTAGGACTGGGGAGATTGGCTTTCGAGAACGTAGGCGAAGATTTAGCAAGGTCAACAATGAAGACGACATGTAAGTTCACATGTAAATGCGGCTCCGAGTGCGCAGAACCGGTTCACGTAGTTGCAGCACGTCCGTTGTTCTAGAGGGAGAGGGAAGTGTACATGACTGAGGTGGGAACGGTAGGAGGAAGATACAGGGAGATGGTTGAGGCATGGAATAGCCTGGAGAAGACGGTAGCTGTACTGGGACATTGGAAGTGGGCTGACAAGGCGGGGGGTGGTATCAGTAGGATAGATAGGCTTAGGGATAACACTTCTGAGCCACCTTTGGCAACGTAGGAAGGAACGAACTACGCTCCGTCCTCTCAAGGACGCGAGGTAGTGAAATGTTGTAAGGATCACGCAAAACATCAGTACCCCTCAACTCTAGGCACCCAATAAAGACCCGAGATCGGAAGACGCGTATTTCCGGGAGCCCTACTCGATACACAACGGAACGTCCGCCCGTGTCAACGTGTTGGCAAACGGGAAATCTACTGCTGTTGGCGACAAGTGCACGAGACCCACTGCAATGACGTCCAGCGCACGGTTCTCCTTGAAGAGCCGTTGCCTACCAGTCTTTGCAACCATCGGGATCGACGCCACCAACGGTTGGGAGAGCCAACACCCCCACGCAAAACAAGCCCCAGACGACTCCGACACTTCGAGAGTCCCTTACGCGCGGAGGATGCGAACACGGGGCACCTAGGGTAGATGACTCGGGAGAGACTTAAAAGCATCCTTGAGCAGGGGTTTCGTTGTGTTCTAAAAACCGACTGACGGAACACATCAAGATAAGGCACTCCCTGGGCTGAAAGCCACCACTACCGCTCAAAGACGAAAACATCCAGCCGATCGCTTGCAAGCAAAACAGGCCTGTCTGTGCGTGTACCAGGTATGTATATTTTCCTGATGATATTTTCTACGTAAAAAAGTTTACAACGGCCCACCGACGGAGAGAGGGTCGCACACAGCAGTAGTACACCCAGGACATTCATCGGCCGCGAAATGTTCCGAAGATTGGTAGATGTTGTACCTTGTAGACTAGTCTAGTGCGTTCAGATATTTGGGCAAATGTATGTATGCATGCATGTACGGACAAGGAAGCCACCTACAACTTGTCGCCCTCGTTCAGACTTCGGACTCCATCTATCCTGCTGTACCGCTTGTGCCGTACAATGTGAACGGCCTTCTCAAAGCTGAGAGAACGCCGGGGGGAGGGGGGTACATCGCCTCTACACTCCAGGGACAGCAGGTTGTGTGCCTCATCATTATGGTCAAGAATATGATGTTGACCGCGTATAGTGCACTGAAGCGTGCCGTGAAACAAATACCTATAGTGTTCACTGGTGCTCATGCTCCCGTTGAGATTGTGCATGCTGTAGGTTACGTGAAAGCCGCACATTGTCGCATACATCAGGGCATTCCCCGTATTGCGACGACAGGCACAACAACACCTGCTGTTGTAAATCGTATAATACTGCTGTAGATACTTCGAGACGAGAATACTCTACCAAACACACTAAACACGGGGTGGCCCTGCTGCTGCCTGCCTTGCTCCCTCCCGCCACAAAAACCAAAGGCGATCAAGGGCAACCCAAACTGAGACGAGGCGAGGGACAAGGACACCCACGTTAATGTTACGTGTACAGAGTGGAAATCACAACATGAACAGAGAGCGGGGCGCGAATAGAGCGAGCCAACATCAAATGCCTTCCCTGCTGTTCAGAAGCCGCGCCAGATGATGCAATAAAAGGGTACAGGAACAGAAGAGAAGACCTCACAGATAGATGCCTTTGCCTTGAATGACACACACCTCGATCGCCCACACATTGCCCTGACACAGCACAGAACACACACAGCGTCGTCGGTCGGCGGTGGATACTGTTGTGGAAGGCGCCGGGCGCCGGGAACGATATGCGCAAATTTGATCGGGGATGCAGATATGAACGTCCCCGGGAGGGGATGTGAGAGACGTGTCCCCTTTCATAGTTTTCGGCGTCTTACAGCCTGCTGTCACGCACCGCACCTCCTCCCATCTCCAGACCGGTCGCGTGAACCCCATACATCAGCCCACCCATCCAAGAATCAACCGCTCACGACAGCCCGCCTACACACGGCCGAGAGCACCGGACGAGGAGCATCGAACCGGTGTTATTTTTTCTCCTCGCGGCGAAGGCATGACGGAGTTCGAAAGAGGAGGTCGCAACAACGAGAATCATCATCGGGGGGAAGCTTTCATCACGAAGAAGAGAGACAGCAACAACAACGACAACGACGCGGCGTTTCTGAAGAGCAAGCGCCAGAGGAGCATGGCTGATCGCCAAGAAGAAGAGCAACATCAGCCGCCGCAGACTCGCCGGATGGTCACCGACGGTATGGGTTGTGTTGGTTTGGTGGAGAGGTTGGCCCAGTCGAGTCATTTTCTTGCCGTCCCCTCTCTCAAGACGACCAACTTGCCCAACCCCACGGACGAGGCTGTCTCGGAAAGCCGGCTGATCCAGACCTCGCCACCAAAATTAATCAACCGCGAAGAGAGTAGCGGCACAGAAAGTAGCATGAGCGGCAGCATCGCTAACAGCAGCAGCGTTAGTAGCGCGATGGATGATCGCGAGTCAGTTTTCACTCCGATGACTAACACCGAGGGCGTCGCCGAGATCGATTCTCCCGCCCCACTCTCGAGCAGTTTCAGTCAAAAGAAGGGCGACTCGGTTCAACCCCCCGCTGACCGTAGCGAGCAGAGTTCGTCGAGCGACGAGTGGGTGTGCAGGGCATTTGGGAAAGAAGTATGCGAGAACGACATTTCGCACCGCATGTGGTCCTTGAGGAGGCGCGGCTTCGACGAGTATGTCATGCGAATAATGGATGAGTGTGTGTATGAGAGCGATGACGAAGATTTCATGGCGTCCCCGGAGGGTAGAAGAATCAATTTGGACGCAGCAGTCGACGAACAGCAAGAAGAGGAATTGGTAGCACAAAAGTATGACGGCACCCACGCGCACGAGCCCCCGCTCCCCGAACCGATAGTGGTGACGCCTGAAAGACTTCTGTTGTAGATTTGGCGATGACCCGAAATATTACACTGGTTTGTCGTCGTTCCCCTCATCGCTCCTCTCTGCGTATCGGTGCTCCTTGCAGAGAACTTTCGTGTCTTCTCACTTCTGCTGTACTCTGGAGTAGTGATTTTCTGGTCGTTTATTTTTTTTCTCGACGGGGGGGGCAGGCCTGCTTGTCTTGTTTACGATTGTTCCCGTTTTCGATTGGTGTGCATAGATGCGACTGTTCGCCACTCTTAGCTGCTGAGGAAAACAGGTGGCACCCGCCAGTCATGGACCGATGTGGGAATCAACTGCGTTTTTCTTTAACTGGTAAGTAGACCACTGCTGTACAACACCATTCTTGCTGAGATGCGCGGTCCTTGTATGATGTGCTCATTTTTCAAGTGTTTTGTTTCGACGAACAATGTTTGCCGCATTCTCGAAGAATGAGAGGGCCCTCGGGAAGTGGGAAGAGAGTCGTGTACCTGTAGGTCGCCGAAGGTGTTCGCTTGTTTCCAACTGTGTGCTGCTGCTCAATCTACCGCGCTGGTCTCGCGCCAGCACACGCACTCTTTCCAGGCTCTGATTGCTTTCTCTGCACCTCGCAGCTGGAGGGGGAGAGCCAACGTGCGGTTGCCTTGCCGGAATTCCCACGCCGAACAGGGAGTACGACAGAGCCAGCTTCTACGCTGTTTTTTATACGTATGTATAGTGGGTGTTGTCTTGATGTCAGCGGAGTGCATTACTCCTTTTTTTTCCCTGATGCCCGAGACTCTTTATGGACGGTGTTCAACGAACAGAAGATGGAACGTTTGGCGCGTTGCGGTTTGATGTCTGCTGTTGTTGGATGTTTACATTCAGTTAACTGCGTGTGTCTCAGGTGTATCCTTGCGGGCAGTTGGTTGGAGGCACCGCGTGAGCTGTTCAGATGCTGGTCTCTCAGCCTTTTGTTATTTTGCACGCTCTGCGGATTTTCTTGTTTTCCTGATTTCTATCCCCTCGGACGTGTTACCACCCGCCTAGCCTATGGCGACGTGGCTTGGCTTGATGACCTATGGTCATATGGTCATCGACAGGACGGTGTCCGATTCGATCGGCGAGCACCGCTGTGCCGCGGCCGACATGATCGCACGTGCTCGAGGGAGAGGGGTGAGATGTTCGACAACTTATCGTCTTCAAAATATCATTCATGTAGGCATTTATCGCTCAAGTCGTAGTTTAGTGTCTTGCGCCGTTGTGTGCATGCGGCGATACAGGAAGAGGAGGAAGAGATAAATTTGGGCACGAGGGGCAGAGGATAGGCAAAAGTTCGGTTTAAATTAGAGTTTTGTCGCTGAAATGTTGACCCCGTGCCCACTATGTGAGGACACGGCGCGAAACCGCTACATCTTTGAGCCGCACTCTGTAGTAGCGGATTGCGAAAGGTAGGCAACCGTTGCCAACTGTCTCGCGCTCCCTTCGACTAATTGCAGTCCAGGCAAGTTTGATTTTGCAAGTGGGGGAAACCACGCTAAAAGCGGCCGACCACCCCTTCACAAAACCTTCGCTCATCTCAAAGTGAGCAAACATATCTTTTTGTTGTGGCGCACATGTTTTCGATGCACTCCTTGTGTGAAGAATGCTGTGCCTGTTACCGCGTTGCATTGGAATGCGCGCAGCCGCTTGCCCCCCCCCCCCCCCCCCCCCCCCCCCCCCCCCCCCCCCCCCCCCCCCNCCATTCCGCCTGCCCGCATCGCCGTGCTGCTGCCAGTTCTGTTGCCGAGTGCGGTTTGCGTACTCGCTACCCGCGTCTGGCGCTCAACGAGGCAACGCCGTCGAGCGACTACAAAAACAATTCTCCCACCGCCCCCCCAACAAGCCTCCAACACAACGTGGGTGCGTTATTCCATCTAGAGGAGTCTCATATTTGTACTTGTCGCAAAACACATGGCAGGCCGGTGGGCCTTCTCCTCAGGGGATTCTTAGTTTTGTGACGGGCCGTTTTGACCATCGCCATGATTTTTTTTCCCCTGTGAGATTCGGTTAGATTCGTTTTCGGAGCAACAGTCCAACGCCTAGAAAACCCGGCGCAAAATGGTCGATGTGTGAGTAAAATCCTCTCATTTTTTGGTTTTATGTTTGTTTCCATCGCTAATATTGCCTTCATTTGCCCTTGTGGTTGTGGCATTTGCCCGTGCCTGGGCCGGATGTCCCCCACACCTTCGTGGCTGCAGCCACGCATAATCAGCTTTTGCGTGATGGAGCAAACAAGCAGCCGTGGTGGCGTGGAGTGGGGAAGGGGAAGGTGAATCGTACCGTCCCGGATGGTTGGTGGGTGCCGGTGCTGTGCTCGCAAGCGTATGAACTCAACGCATGCATTCGTTTTGGCCAGGGACGGCTTTCAAGTCCCCACTCTGTACGTCTCTCCTGCTTTTGCATGCGGAAGTTGCGATACACCTGCGTGTAGATTTTTTTTTCGTTCGTTGGTGTGTGCGTTGTCGCATGCCCCGGCCCGTCTCTCCGTTGTCCGCCCTTACTGCTGACCGCCAGCGCGACGCTTCCACGGGCACGATTGGCACCCGCTGCGGCCACCGAGAGCAGCACGCGCTGAGTCACCATCATGAGAGACCCCGCCCACATCGCTTCCCGAAACACGAAAATTGTGGGTGCGAGGACACACGCTTCTGTCCGCGCTTTTGTTCCATGTGAAGCGACCAAGCGTCATCTAAGGAATGTTTGCATTTGTGTTGCGAACCAGGCAGTTCCTTTCGTGAGAACGCATTGACGGTAAACTTTACTGTGCCGCGAAGCAGCACCGACCAACTCTCACTTCACTTGATTATTTTCTTAGCCCCCCCGCCCCCACTCCTAGTCAGTACAACGTCTCTTGACCGTATATGTAAATTTTCACCACAATCGCTGCCTTATCTGGTTGTGCGAAAACACAACAGCGGTGTGTAAGATAAACTTTTGGGGCCTCCCATTTTCTCCCGTCCTCAGTGGTTGCTACCCATCATTAAGGGCTCTACAAGGTTAGACCCTTCAATTTTCCGACACCTACTACTTTTGGGTTCTATCTTGCGTTTCCCCCCCGTGCCCTTCAGGGCGGGGGTGCTCTCCGCACTCACTCGCCCTCCCCATGTTTCCTGCTCATGTCACGCAACTCGAGAGGCTACCAAGCGACCTTGTGGGGTTACGAACAGGGCAAGATGTGTACGTCCTTGGTTGGCCCAAGAAGCGTGAACCGTCATCAGCAGGCGCATTGGCTCGTTTGCCGCTATGGTGCCGTTGGTGCTGCACCTTTGGCCACACGGAGACTGCTGTTGTTTCGCTCGCGTCTTGGTTGCTTGTAAACTGATCTCGGCGCAAGCGCAAATGAAAGTTGGTTGGTTTTTTTTCCATGGGTGGGTATATCTTGCCTTGCGCCGTCATTTCTTGAGCGGAGGAACTACGAAGCGTCAACAGTATTTTCCTGTGCCTGCATGCCGGTTGGAAGTCACGCTACGTTGGTAGCGGGAAAGTGTGGTGCTGTTCCGGACGACACTTACGTATTTCGCTGAGCGTATCTTGTCGCCCAAGCAAACAAGACATCAGCCCATCTTTTCCCTCGGCGATATGCCCCGCCATATATGTTGTACGCCTCCGCGACTGCCGATAAAAGAACCCCGGCCTGTCCGGTCGCCTCCGTTGGGGAGGGCACCTCAAAACAGCGACCTTATGAAACCACTTTGAACTCCCCTGAATCCCTTGCCACTTTGAGCGATTCGGCACGGCCGCCTTTGATGGGCACAACGAATTGGCAAAAACCCTCTATTTGTGGAGATTGTAGCGAACATAAAAACGAAAATTCGGGCAGACACTGCTATGGTCTCGACCGGAGTAAAGTTGATGGGTTGCAGATTGTCCATTATTCTCTGACGGACATGGGCCGATGCGCCATTTTCACGAAAATGATGTGGTCACAAGAAAGCATTGAGCACGTACGAGAGAATTCTCCCGTGTGTTCCGGTTCGTTGCGAGAAGAGAGCCACAAGGCAACCATCGTGACGACACAGCTCCAAACCCATGCATGCAAACCTCTGCCTTCGCCTTCCCACCACCAAACCGCCAAACAAACGAAGCCAATGCCAACTCGTGTCGTTTTTCTCCCGTGAGGAAAATGGACAGCGGCGGCGGAGTCAAGGTGGCGGACAGTGGCGTGCTTGTGAAGTTTTCACGCCTTATGGCAGGGTCCCACCGATCGTCAAAAATTCACAAGTTTGCGTTAGCGCGTGTCTGTGCACTTGTCCGCAACGTAACTAGAGGGCCCTCCGTGCCTCAAGGAAACGAGTGGGTAGCACGGCTCCGGAAAAACAGCGATTCACAGCCCTCGAAACGGGCGGGTCTCTCGCAAGCACACGGAAAATTGATCTCTTCGTATGGCCCACACGAGTGTGGTTAGTCGACGAAGAACCAAGCACCACCCTCCCCTCCGACCAAAAAACGCGTACAGGTACTTTTGAAGGTGACCATCTCCTGAGAAGATGACATAAAATGCTTGCACAATATATGGAGAAAAACCTTCCTGGATGACATCCGCAGCCACAAGTCCATGCGTAACCTCGACAACCTTCGGACCGCGAAGGAATCGATGGGGTCTCAAACTCCCGTTCCCACTTAAAACCGAATCTTTTCTCTGATCCTCAGACTGCCGTCCGACCCGAGGCGACAACCTGCTTTCCTCAGCTGCAAGTCTCGACGCTGTGGCAAAGAGCACACTAACGAAGATGCGGGGCAAAGCAATGAAGCAGCAGCTGCGCTCACTCATCGCAGGAAAACCGTAGACATTTTTAAGCCATCTACATCAGACTCAACCTATATACTCTTTGAAGGGTGTCGGCCGACTAACGAGTATATTTCGGCTGCACCAAATCTCAGACGACTTCAAGCCCCGGCGCACACACGCACACACCTCACAACAAGAGACGCAAGGCTGGAGAGAAGAACTGTCGCAAAACAGCTGTAGTAATGGCGATGACCGTGATGGTGTACGTACTCCAAAACGAACTCGAGTGCAAGGTAGAACCATTACCGCACTGATGCTGTATTGTGTTTTCACCGCACTGAGACTGACATATTTTCATTGGTCAGCCGGTGAGCGCGGTCGGTGCTGATAATAAAGAAACAAACGCCCCCCCCTTCCTTGGTATGATAAAGTACTCCCTCAACCAATATCTCTGAGTCGATGAGGGTTGGGAGCGACCCCATCCGCGCCAGCCAAACAAGGCAAAACGAGCGTCTATCTCAGACTTCCACATACTCCTTCTTGAGAATCGCAGCGATCGTCGGCCAGGAGGCAAGGCGTACCACCTCCGCGTGAGAAAGGGTCTTGCCCTTTTCGAGGGTGCCCCCAGTGCCCTCCGAGAAGATCGTGTGCAGCGGAGCGCTCTCTTTGATCTGGTCATTTTTGGCACGGGAAAGGGGGGGAGGGGGAGTGTTTCGTTTCTCGCTCGTTCCGACCAAAAGCTGTAAAAACAACTTCATTTTTCTCGCAACTTACGCTCACATAACAAGCGGTGTTGCAAGGGGCGCAAGAGGATGGCGTTCCTAGCGTTCAACATTCCACAGCTTCCTGGTCTGTTATGTTCTAAATAGAGTTCAGTGGTGGGTAGTTGTGGGGGACGAGAACTATGACATCGAGTTTCCTGTCTCTCTCTCTCCCGCCCCCTCCTCCCGAAATAAACGATGCCCTGGAACTCAATAAACAATGCCCGGGGACTTACAAAAAGCGACAACAAGTGCACCCGTCACCATATCAGCATCAATCCCATCGATGCCTTCCCCGCCAGCACACACGACCAGACACGAGACGAACAAAAAAAGGGATGCAAACGTACCGCCATCACAACACAATGGAAGGCAACCTCAACGTACACCAACGTGCAAAAACAAACGTTCCCTGCTCTTCAACTTGGCCGAGTTGGGTTCGGGCAGAAAAGCACTTTACAACAGTCCTATAAGGATGGCGCACCCAGAAACACACTAATCCCCGAGACCACTGTTAGCAGCACCGACATCGAACACCAAATACTGAGGCACGGGACTCCATCCAACAGAGCCCCGGAAAAGCAAGGCACCCACGTGCGGCATACGCGTATGTGCCATACCGTGGCGTCCAAACACAACACCGATCACGGTGCTAATCACATCGCAATGCACCTGTCCGTTGACCTGGGCGAGCGGGGAGACCGGCGGCGTGTAGAGAAGTGCGCTGCGGAAGTGCATCAGGGCCGCTTCTCGCTCCAGGCCGGTGTGGATGCACAGCCGGAGGGACGGCAGCTTGGCCGACCGGAAGGGGAGGCCCGAGTCGGTCCTGTAGTGGCGGAGCTCCGGGACGGCCTCGGTGAGGCTGGGTACGACTGATTCCTCTACGAGCACCACCTAACAGAGAACCGGTCGAAGCACACAATGACACAAAATAAGACAAGAACAAGGGAGAGGCCCAATGAGTCAATTCCCGTGCGAAGTACATTGTGATATTTTTATTGAGGCGAAACAAGGGCAAGGCTACCATAACGCTACCCCAATACGTTAATACGTTCTTGTTTTCGCCGTAAATCATGTCGCGGGGCACAGCGTAGACAAAGGGGCCTGTATGCGGATGAAGCACCCCGAAGATATTCTACAAACAGCACTAAGGCCGCCATAGACAAGAACCTTGTCTGCACATTAACACGTGCGCCTACGATTCAAAACACAACCACAACGCCTACAAACAAGCCTGGCGTCTATCTCGCATGGTGAAATTCATGGAAGGCTCTCACAAGCAAGCCTCCTCACGACAAGAGATACAATAAACCAAGGCGAGTCTTCCCGTGCCCGAACGGACGCCAAACACAAGGGGCCTGGTTCCACCTTCGCGAGGGAGACCGTGCACGACGGTAAACCACCAGAGATCTGCACGCAACCAAGCTCGAGCAACGGTCGTTGGGGTAAAAAAACGCACACCACGAACGGTTTTATCCTTCATGTCGATACCATATCTTCATAAAAACATAAAAACCATACACCGATCTCTCCTCTATACCCTTCAATATCCGCACTTGGTCCAATAATCGATGAAAGAATCTCAAAAGTCAACCAAAATGGACACTGAACAAGCTTACATTGCACACAACACGCGGCGCTAGAAACCGAAACATCGCTCCCGTCCCCCCTCTTACCGCCGCGCCGGACTCCTCTAGGATTTTCTCAACAGCTGCCGCCGACGCAAGCTTGGGGTCCACCTCAGCGACCACCATCCCTATCCTCGCCGCCGCCAACTGCGCCACGTGCTTCTCTGAGCACTCCGGCAGCCACATCGCCATCGTGTCCCCGACCTGCCCCAGGTGGCGAGGGCGAAAAGTATCGTTCGGACAAACGTCAGAAAGAAGAAATATGGTATGAAGATATTATGAAACGGGGCACTAAAAGTGCAGCAGTTTCGGACATGTGTAACCGCACCAGCACCTCTAAATGTGCCGGCCCTGTGCCCCGCCCTCTTCAGCGTGACATCCCGGCTCCGACACGGCCGTCCGATCGCACGCAGAGCGTACCGTAGTGCAGTTTTCTTTTCGCTGGGTTTTCCAGCCACAACCAGCCGTGACCAATCAGGACCTTCGCTCAAACCAGTCCAAGAGGGATGAGGACTAATCCACCTACGCAGCGACCCGGGCACTATAAAACTAACAGGGAAGCCAGACCGGCACTATTGACAGATTCTCAGACCCTGTATAGTGCCGCTTTGGACAGAGGCGTATACGCAAAACATAAGCGGAAACAGCCTTCCGATTATCTTCTGTTCTAGTGGCCGTCCGTCTCTCGCATAGTGATCACCGTCCCTTGCGTTCCCTCACCTTGCACCCCAGCTCAAGAAGGCCGCACGCGAGTGCCTCAGAGTGGCTCTTCACGTCGGATCTAGTCCACTTCAGGTTTCCCTTCTTGTAGCGCACGGCCTCTTTCATCGGAATCTCCTCGAGCACCTTATCCACCTTCGACGCCAGCCCTCCCAAAAATCGACCTGCTTTCCCCCCCGCCCAGCAAGCCCCCCCCCGCGCGCGCAACAAAAACAAGGATAAACGAGCTTCAGCATTGCCTCCTATGATGTCTCGGGCAGACAAGGAAACAGCATGTGCGACACGTACCGCGTGTGGTCAAGCAATAACGGCGGCCGGGCCCCCAAACTACCGCTTACGGGGGGCGCAAATGGGGACGAAACCAGGGCACAGATTGTCTACTCTGCGTCGCCACTTTTGGCGCAGACAAGACGCGGCTAGTTGGCCAAAAGACAAACGAGCACGGTGTTGGGCGTAAGTGCCTGTGTGTAGGACGCGAAGCTGCATCCGTTCGTCGAGGGCAGGCGCATTGCACAAGCAGCATTCCACAGCAGTCAAGCCATGCCTGTACTACTTGTACGTGGAGTGTACGTACGTGAATATCACTGCTCTGATGAGTTATAACTACGTAGATCTGGATCGATGGATCGGATCTATGCTGCATGGGTCGTAAGGGCACGGCGTGGGTGGAAATCTGCTCCGGACATACCGCGCACATCATGTCTTCGAGGCTTTGAAGCTGAGGCTCGTGTATCTTCGAAGAGCTTTAGTCAAGACGACTGCTTGTAGCCCCCATAAACATATGCATATATGGTGTGGTTGGCTCCGATGCACAACAGACGGAAGCATGCACACATTGCCTCTCGCAGCAGAAGTTCAAACGCCGGCCAAGAAGTTTCTCATACCCAAAGCACCAGCGAGAAACGGTTAGAGGAGCGTGCAAAGGACGTATGTACAACTGCATGCCAAGTCGTTCAAACTCTAGAGGGGTGAGGCCGACCTATGCCATGCAGGGTAGTCATGAGGCTGCCGTGCTCGCTCGCACACATTCTTGGTAGAGAGACGAGATACTCACCCTGAACTGTCGGCGGCATGTCCCCCGCTGCTGCTGCTGCCGTCGCAGCCTTTAGCGCAACCGCAGCGCCCCGCCTGCTGAGCGACGCGACATTTCGTGGCCTCAAGCAGCCAGCGTGCTCCGCCGCTCTTCCGGTCGCCCTGGCCAAGGACTGCATCCTTCTTGCCTGCCGTCTCTCTGGGTAGCAGGCGATCAGGCCAAAAAGTACGCAACGCAGCAGCAGCAGACCAAAGGGGCAGGGTGGGACGTGATGACGGACAAAATAGAACAGGGGATCAGTCACGCGATTGTCGGGAGGAGAAATGCTGCACGGCCTGATCTTCTCACACGAACGCTTGAGGCATCCCAATCAGTTCCCCTTCCTCTCTCTGCCCGCGTATGCATTGCCTCTCTCTCTCTCTCTCTCTCAGACCCCCTTGCTCAGATGAGCACAGCAGCCGAGGCCGAGGCATCTCTGTGTCGGGGGTATTGATTTCGTGTGCACAATAGATTTTGGCAATCCCAACTCCTCGATCACAGCTACCACGCCAGAAATCTTCTCACCGCTTGGTGGCTTTCCCGTTCTTCGGCCGTGCCGGCCTTTCCCCTCCTGTCTCCCCTTTCAAATACAAACACACCGGCCTCGTTGTGGAATGGGCACAAGCAAAAAGTTTGCGGCTGGGAGTTCAAGGAGGCGGTGTGCCCCGCGAAAAAAAAAAAGTGCCAATGTTGCGGGGCTTTGCCTGCTGCCTGCCTTGCGGGTCCTCACAGCAGTAGTCCTCACATTCTCTTTCTCTGCTGCTGTGTCTTCACCGATGACGTGCTCGCCGTGCTTGAAAGCTTCCCTTCGTGTGGTAGCAGTGGTAGCAGCAGCTTTGGCCCTCTGCTGCAGTAGTCGATGTTCGGCGTTCGCGTTCACAGCACGGCTGTCTCCCTCAACAGCGGTCCTACGGCAGTCGCACAGCAGCAGCAGCAGCAGGTGCTCTGGGTCGTGGGATAGACGAGTGCAGGAACAGTTCAGGTATCCAGTGAACCTGATGGCTCGTGTGTGCTGCCTACCCCAGAGAGTGTCCATGGAGGTGCTGCGTTTGGTGGCATTTTAGTTGATCATGTGCCAGTCGTCTAGTCGATCAGATTCATGAGCGCCTGCCTGTTGTCCCAACATCAACCAACCTCGCACGGCCGTTGCGCACATGGAACCCGGGGGCTCCTGGCTGCTTTTACCACGAACGCTTTTGCCATCGCGCTAAACCGGAAAACGAACTCAAAGACAAAAACACCGCCACGTATCACGACAATGCTGCCTGTGGGTACTACGTAACCCGTTCCTTGCTACTCGGAGTGTATCACTGCTGTTTGGTACTGCTGCCCTGCCGCATATTGACGGCAAAAGAAGCTGGACACTCCATGTAGACCAACTACACTCCTGGGCAGGATCCTTCATGAAGTGCCACGTGATCGCACACAACACTACCTTAGCACTTCTATGCCGCCTTTGATCTGTAGCAGAGCACTCGACACACGATCACGGGGAAGAAGCGAGACGCACTTGGCCAACGGGGTAGGGCGAGGCCTCTACATGGCACAAGAGACGCTCATCCTTACGGAGGAGAACGTCGTCGCTGTGCTGGCCGAAGTGAGGCATATCCCTATCAACATGTTGCGTTACTCAAGATATCATAACTTGTAATCAAAAGTTAAATACTTATACCTGGATGAGCTTTGGACTGCCGTCAGCGAATGGCTGGTTTTCCAGTGGTCATCATGCTTTTCGACAGGTACCACCGCGACGTCGTGACGACGCGTGTGCGCAGAAGTAGAAAGGAGGGAGCTGAGTCATGGTTTCACAAGCGTAAAACTAAGAGCAAAGGCAGTGCTTTGCCACTGGGTCGAAACTGGTGAAAATTGAACAGTCCCATGTGGGAACTCGATCGTACCACCTTGGCCTCTGGCATGTGTCCAGTGCAGGCCGACCTACAGCAGTAGCACCTATCCCATGGACGGGGTGCATTACTGTCCTTCACGCGTTATGTAGTCAACAGGCCGTGTAACCCGTAACAGGCCGACTTTTACCGCCAGCCAGATGGTGTGTCTCGGGATAGTTGATAGTTCCGCACTCGCAATATTATTTTGCTCAGCAGTGCAATATAGCTCGTCGCCCACTTGCTGGCTCTAGCGCCCTTCAAAAAAGCTCAACCTCTGCAACTGCTGTTGCTGCTGGAACCAAGGAAGTTTCGATTGCGGGTATTCTTTTGCTTTCCTCATGAGGACCTTTCACATTCCATCCATGCAACAGGCAAAACGAGAGCTCAGCACGTTGTTTGGCAACAACGCAGAGAACACGGCCGTTGGGATTACTGGCGACTGCGAGTTCGTGTGCCTGGATGGGCCCAGCGTGGTAGTCCGTCTAACCGGAAGATTCTGGCACGAAAAGACCACTGTGAGAGACTGTTCTACCGGGGGGGGGGCGGGGGGGAGCGCACTCTTTTGTTTTTGGTACTGCAGCGGTTAGGCATTGGCCACGCGTCTTCGAGAGGACGTATTCCCACAGGACCGATCACCGATGGCTAATCGTTCCTTCTTGCTTGGCCAAAGGTGGCTCAATAATATCTTGCGAACGGGGGGGCGAGATAACGAGCAAGGAGGCTGACCATGCCTATCATAACCAGATAGGGAGAGACAGAGAAAGCAGACAGAGGGATCGAGAGGGGACAGAGACATCGGCACGCGGTTGGACGATAAATGCACCACGGTGATACATGCTGCTTTGTCTCCTTGCATTTTGTGAATCTGGCGGAATGCGTATCCCGCTTACTTACGATGTCCACTTCATTGCCCGCAACTTTCATAATTTTCGGCGAGCTACAGCAGTACATGTGTATTCGCCTGCTTCTCACATCCTCTGGGTTATTGTCCGATGCCCCAACAGGTGCTTGCCCGTGTGGGCAACTTCGTGCAGACGCGCATCCCCGAATGCGTGGACGTCGAGATCGAAGACCCTTCGCAGCTTGAGGACGCGGATCCTCCTCCAGGGCCAGGGCAGGCCGAAATGTAGATTGTGCCAACCAATACGATTATGCAACGCAGACCCGCATGGATGCTAGATAAATAGTGTTTTTGCCCAACATCTTGCGTCGGGATGAACGCGGAGGTTGATTGACTGGAGTCGCGCGTTTTTTTCGGTGACCGCCCGTGGTAGATGACTCCTGTTTTGCTTCTTCTTTTTTTTTTGTGTGGGCGCGAAGAGGGCATGCTGGAGTTTGGTGCATGCTGGCGCATGGTAATGCGTTTTTGTCTTGTAGTAAATGATGTTTGTCGACGACATCAAAATAATATGTTTGGCCATTGTTGTCGCTTCCCAAACGAATTCGAGCGTTAGGAAACTGATGGAAGCATACATGCCTCGATGACGGGTTCTTTCGAAATGCCATGATGTGCACTGCGTTACTTGAACGCTTTCCACCAAAATCACGAAAAATGTGGTCCCGTTATGTAGAAAGAGTTTGCACGAAATTTCCAGGAACCGTGTGGTCGAAGAAAGAACAGCACGCGAGGCCGATGCCATGTCCCCTCGAGGTTGGTCAGCGTTTACTTTACTGTGTAGACTGACCCAGTACGACGATCGCTGCAGGGGGATCACACCATCATCCCCAACAAGCTGCGACGACGCAGTCCCCTCTTCTGCCCAACCCCAAGGCGTGGTGCGCGCGTGGTTCACCTGCAGCGGCGACAGTTCCCCCCTCTTGGACCTGGCGATCGACCTTTCGTTCTCGATGTGTCGATGGAACCATTTTTTCCTTTTTTCCTTTTCCGCAGTCGGCACCATAGGTATCAACCGTCAAATTTGGCGGCCTGAGTGACTGCTGACCAGCAAGCCTTCGGGCTGTCTTCGAAACATTTCTCACTAACTATTCGGATCTATCTGTACTGACCTTGTGGGTGTTGTATATCTGTATTAGGGCAAGTACCCCCAGTCCCGCCAATGGTCGTCAGGGGCGGGCCGGGCAACACCGCAGCAGTTGCCGCCATGGAAATTCCACAGACAGGGTGTGTGTCGGCTATGCCCCCTATTTTGTGTTAGAGTCCCTGACTGATTGAACACCCACCCTGCCGTCTGCCGGCGACCACTTTCCGTGCTGCAAAGCTGGAGATCATCATGTGTTGACCGAAAATTAAATACGCTTTAACTCTACCGAAAGATTCGTTGTTGTTCAGAACTCCGCCTTTTCACTGCGGTCCCTTTCCGTAACCGATTCTTGCTGCTTTTTACGACTCATTCTTTCTAGGGCTCAATGACGTGGAAGTTGGCTGCGCTGCTGTCTCGTTTCTGCTGCTGCTTCTGCTGCTGCTGCTGCTTCTGCTGCTGCTGCTGCTGCTGCTGCTGCTGCTGCTGGCCAGATGTTCAGGATTGATGCGTCCCTCCCTCATCCCCTGAAAAACGCCTCAGAAATTTGTAGCCATGTTGCATAATTCCACGGCGCCCCCGACGTCTTGGTTGCCTTGCAGGAGCAGCAGCAGTTCAGTGCAGTGTCGATTGTTTCCATAGCGAGTCAAACACGATAGGCAGGAGAACGAAACCAAGGGGGCGTGGCCGAGTCAATTGCGCCGGCTCTTGTTCAGCCCTTGACGATCTTTCATGCAACTCCCCGACATGAGCGACAGCAACAAGGATAAAAACAGCAGCAGCAGTAGCAGCAGCGGCGGCACCTCGGAGGTACAGTTTCGCTGGCCCGACTCGGGAGGAGCAAGCAACGTTGGCGTTTCCGGGGCTTGGTGCGGATGGGTGAGTGTGTGCTGACGCGGACAAAGCAGAACAGACAAGAACAGGGCCTGCGTGTTGTGTGTTACGTTTTGTTCTCTGCTCGAATCTTTCTCCCACACGCTCCTGAAGCTTTTTTCCAAGATGTTGTGACATCAACTCATCCGAAAGACACTTACGTTCGTCTGTAAAAGACTAGTCTAGTCTATGTATTTCATGTGTGTACACCTGCTGGTTGCAGCTTTGGCCGCTTCGGCGCATATTATAGCGTTCGAGGCCTCTTGCTGTTCCCGAAATTGATCCCAGCCAGAGCATCAGCAGCATCAGCAGCAGTACCATCAACATCGATGCACAGGGTAGCCGGGGGGGTTCGCGTATCCATCCCACACGGCCGCCGCTTAACTTCAAGAACCTGGTCGCCATATTTTATGGTGACACAATTTTATCATGCATCCATGGTACAGCAGTTTATACATTTGAGTATAAGAAGAATGATGAGCAAGAATTGCTTCACGTGTTTTTTTTTTTTTTTTTCTTAAGATCACACAACAAATCCACCTCTATCTATAGAAATAATTCTAAGATAGATTAGCAATGAATCCATAGCGTGAGCGAAAGGCTACCTGTATGTCTACGGTTTCCCAGACAGCTTACAACGATAACTCCCCTGTGGGTAACAGGCTCTTGTATTTAAAGTACAAGATGTGATCTTGTCTTGGCGTCGGTATACTACTTGTAGTCGACTGGCTTTGTCTCTGTCTTCGTCGGCGAAGCTGCTGGTTCGAGATGCCGGATTCCGGCCGCCCTACAGCAGTAGCAGCAGTACAAAAAAAAAAAATGTCACAGCGGCAGTGACGGGCATTCTCGAAATTTGGACCATATTGCGGACGCAGTAACATGTCGTTAGTCATTTCGTCACCAGATTCCCGACTCGCCTCAGGAATTATTTTATCGTTGTGGTGTGGTGGTGGTTTGGTTGTCTTGAAACATTGATAGCCGTTCCGGGCTCCGCTCAGTGGTACCTTCTAATATCCGTGCTGGTCCAACTGACACCGACGCCTTCCTTGGTCACCAAAGTCAGCTAACTAGGATAATACTTAGGAGTGAGACACCGAACCACTTCGTGAGAATGCGAGAGGTTACGTCAATCTCTTTTTGTTCAAAGCAGTGATACAATAACACAACAGAAGACCAGACTATGTGCCTTCGAGTGTTCATAACACAACAGAGGATGAGCTAGACCTTTGACTAAGTTGTTGTTGCCCCCCAAGACGAGCCCCCAACCTACTGGTACACTGCGTACTCATGAACTACATACATACGGACGGGACCAAACAACGCAAATGGGCGCAACTCTGCAGAAATTTCGAAGTACTTCGTTTCCTTGTTGTCTCGTGTGCCGCCCAAACCTTCAAGCAAGCGCGCACCGACATACAAGAGAACCAAACCACGCCTGCACAGCGCGCTCAAAGAGGTTGATGGTTGATAGACCACACCTGTGCGCTGCGCCGGCCGATCATTTTCGTCTGATTGCTGTGTTTTCCGGGTTGACACTTTTGCTTTTATCGTATCGCGGTCGTCTTTTGTCTTTCTTTGTTTTTGGCATGAAAAAAAAAAAGTCTGAAACTGGAACGCCACTGTCTCCTGCGGAGGACAAGGACGGGAGGGTGCTGTTCTCAGGAACGGTCCTTCTGCCGCGCGGCAACCACAAGTTCCGGTTCGTCGTAGACGGAGAGTGGCGCCACGACCCGGAGGTGAACGAGCGGGAACCAGAAGAAACTTGTCTTGCGGGCTATTTTTCGTGCAGTACAGCAGTATGCATGTTGTTGGTGCGACCCAACATTTCTGTTCTAGTTGTGTTCGCTTCTCTCGAACCTCGCCAGAAAGACACAGAAATGTAAGCATGGTGTGTGTCTGTGTGTGTGTGTGTGTTTTTTTTTTTTCTTATTAGCATCGACCGCGCTAACCGGCTGACCAATGAAAAGACGTCAGTCTCAGTGCGGTTGAAAACGCAAAACACTTCTACTACTATCTGTCATGAACTGGGACCCCGTGAGGGGGCAGCATGTGTGTGTGTGTGAGAAAGAGAGAGAGAGGAAGAGAGAAAGAGAGCGAGAGAGAGACAGAGAGAGTGCTTGTCATGCGGCAGAGTTGGACTCTCGCTGCTGGAACAACCCAGCACTCTCGCTCTTGCCCCCTGCTCCGCCACTTGTTTGACGCGTTTTTGTCTAGAGGAAGGCTGTGCGTGTCCCCCTCACGCGCCAACTCTCCCTCCGCCCCCTAAATCACCCCCTAAAATCACCCCCTCTCTCCCCCTCTGGTCCTTCGTCGTTCTACTATTTGGTCCATGTCATTGGTGGTTTTGTTTGTTCCGCGGGAATTCTCGAATGAATGCGGCGTCTGTCTGCAGCTGCCGACCGAACGGGACGAGGCCACCGGGGAGGTGTGCAATGTTGTCAAGGTTTCTCACAAGGGCGATCTAAGGGTGCGGCTACCGGAGCAAGTGAGTCTCTATTGCTGTGTTACTGCTGTTGTTGCCCTTTGCTGTTGCCCTTTGCTGTTGCCTTTTTGCTGTTGCGCCTTTGTTTGCTTTTGCTGGTCGTCGTTCAAATGTCGGCCGCGTTGCCGCGGTCCCGTGCATGTCCTGCTGCGTCTCGTGCGTGTGTCTTCGTGTGATCATTGTTGTTTCTCTCTGTTTTGACACAAGCCGTGCATGCTCGCTCATCCCCTTCGTTGTCTAACGTCGAAGGGACGATGATTTCGCTGTAGAAAAACACAGCGTGCTTGGTTGTAAGGACTAATATTGTTTTCTCAACCGAGAAACGCGTGGTCGTTGATGACGATCGAAACACCATGGGGCGTGCTCCCCCCCCCCCCCCCCCCCCCCCCCCCCCCCCCCCCCCCCCCCCCCCCC